AGAGGGTTTCTCTGCCCTTATTGCAAATATGGAGTGGGTTGGGGCTATTCAAGGAATTTCAGTGTGCCAAAATGCCCCTTTTATAAACCATTTGCTCTTCGCCATTGATAGCTTCATCTTTGGTAGAGCTAGAAAGGAGGACTGTGAGACGGTTCAAAAACTCTAGCTTGCTATGAGAGGGCTTCGGGCCAAGAGGTTAACCTACAAAAAAGAGCAATGTATTTTAGTCGTAATATCAAAAGGAATGACCAAAACCTACTGGCAACTTTGATTGGAGTGGAAATAGTTGACATAGTTGACAGATATGAGATGTACTTGGGGCTTCCAACATTTGTGGGAGGAAATCATGGGGTATGTTTTAATCATATCAAAGAGAGACTTTGGAAGAAACTTCAAGGCTGGAAAGGGAACAATTCATGGCTTCCAACATTTGTGGGAAGAAATCGTGGGGTATGTTTTAATCATATCAAAGAGAGACTTTGGAAGAAACTTCAAGGCTGAAAAGGGAAAATTTTGAGTGCTGCCAGTAAAGAGCTGTTAGTAAAGGTTGTAGCTCAAACCATCCCGATGTACACCATGAATTATTTTTTACTCCCAAAATATTTCTGTGATGAACTGACTCGGTTAGTGGCATCATATTGGTGGACTTAATCCAAGAATACAAGGAGAATTCATTGGATGGCCTAGAACAAGCTTTGTCTACCTAAACTTGAGGGTGACCTTGGGTTTCGTAATCTTTTGGCTTTTAATCTCGCTCTCCTTGCCAAGCAAGGGTGAAGGATTATACATGATCTGTCATCCCTAATAGCAATGAATTTAAAAGAAATATACTTTCCTCAATCTTCATTTATGGAAGTTGTGGTCCGGTCGAATGCTTCTTATGTGGGGAGGAGTATTTGTGCAGCAAAGGAAGTGATCAAGCGTGGTCAAGATGGCAGATAGGGAATGGAAGTTCTGTCAAGGTGTGGGGTGACTGTTGGATCCCTCAACCATCTACGTTCTAAGTCTTTTCCCCAAAACAGGCGGATTGTAATGTTTCCATGATCAGCAATCTCATTACGAGTGAAGCTAAATGGGATTTGGTGATATTAAATTCTTTTTTATCGACTGAGGAGGTTGAACGTGTACGCACCCTTCCTTCGAGCAAACAAAATGCTAGGGATCAACTGATATGGCACTATGATAAAAAAGGAACTTTCACTGTCAAAAGTGCTTATCATGTATCATGTGGCTCGTATGTGGGTTACTCCTCCTTCTCTCACTTCCTTATCATCTTCTGATTGCAGCCCCTTCGCTGCATTATGGGGTAAGTTGTGGAAGGCGAAAGTGCCACCCAAAGTAAGAATGACTACTTGGAGAGTATTTTCTGATATAATCCTTACGGGGGTTAACCTTCTCAGGAGAAAAATCTCGGTTGACCCATTGTGCATTTTATGTGGTAATAATGTTGAATCTTTGAGGCATATTATGCTCCAATGTCCCTTTGCGTGATGTATTTGGATGGCTTCTCCTTTGGGTTGCGACCAACTCACTGGAAAGAATGTTCGCTGAAGGAATGGGCATTGCAAATGGCTCTGGAACATAAGCCATTTGACTTCGAATGTGTTATGCTATGTTGGGCTATTTGGACAACTAGAAATGCGAAGTGCTGGGAAGAAGATCTCAACCCAAACCCGTCCAGTGTTGTTGGTTGTGCGATGGATTGGTGGCATGATTTTTGAAAGGTTACAACCAATGCATCACGATCTGACAATCAATCTGCCATACCTAGGTGGTCGTGCCCTCCTTTTGGCAGGATCAAGGTTAATGTGGATGGGGCGTGGGATAAGGAAAACAAGGTAGGTGGTGTAGGGGTACGTGGTTTTTAGGGACTTGGAGGGGAAGTGTTTGGGTGCTGTCTCTAGGATGTTTGAAGATGTTTTCCTCGTATCCAAGCAGAGGCACTGGCAATTAGAGTTGGGGCTTGAGACTGCGGTTGAATGGGGCTTAAATATGATCGACTTCGAGAGTGATTCGTTTCATATCATCTCGGCATTGCAGGACTCTTCTACTATTATGTTGCACATGGGACCTATTATAGAAGATGTAAACCACCTATTGTCTACGGTTGCTGAAGCTTGTGTTGCCCACATTCGTCGCCAAGCTAACTCGGTTGCTCATCAATTAGCTCGTTTTGCTCTACGTTGTGGTAATGGTTGTACTTGGTTAGATGCTCCTCCATCTGTAATCTGTGACTTTCTTTAGGAGGATGTTCATGTACCTTGTACTAATTAGCCTTTTCATGGCTTCAATGAAAGTGTTATTATTGAAGTATTAATTTAGTTTCAGTTTTGTAGGTTATATGCAGGGATGTTCGCTTTCTGTGTGTTGATGCTGATGATTTCATTGACAGCCATCTAGTTCCTTCACTGATTTCTCCTTTAAGAGCGCTTCCAAACTTGAATTCTTTTTACGTGATGGCCGAAAGTGACTATATGGGGGATGTAAATGAAAAGTCCGATCCAGGTTTTGCTTTTTTATCGTCTTAATCGAACACGTTTTATTTTCCTGGGATCCAGGTTTTCTTTCCCGATTTCTGGTTTTTTATTTTTATTTTTATGTGGTTTATCTGTATTGACATGATTGTTCTTTCCTTTCCAGGCATATGCATGTCAGTTTAGTAAGAGATATTGGGGGCTTCAGAACCTTGCTTGCATCTCTCATCTCAAGGAGGTAATTATGGAGCTTGTCAAAGGGTACGATGGAATTGAGTTTGCAAGGTATTTGCTTGAGCATGCTCGGAATTTGGAAAAAATGATCCTAAGTTTTTTTTTTTTTTTTCCGGAACGGCAACCAGATTCCCTCGGAATGTTGAATAAAAGAAAGATGTTTTCCAACGCAGAAGTTGCCTTTCAGGATAGAAAGGAAGTACGGAAACATTGGTCAAAAGCCATGCAATGATACTCTAGTGATGTGTGTTGCAGTCTCTCGGTCATCGACTGGATGTAGAGACGCAGTCTTTTATTTATGCACTGGAATATATATATAGAGAACATCCTTATATTCTCATTTGGTCTAAATTCGCTTACAATCTGATAATTTTGAAATTTCCTAACGTACTATTTGTGCTTCACGAGGAGGCGATTGAATTAAATAAAAACACATTTGAAAATATAATTTGCAAGGGGATTTAGGAGCAGTTATACCTTCACTTGAGTTCCTTGGCCTCTTATACTTTGAACAAAGTTGAGGTTCCATCCGAACACGAGCTTACAATATGCGGAGTTGCCCAAATCGTCTCTAATTGAATTTAAAAAAATTAAAACAAAATAGTCTCTATAGACTAATATGATAATAATTTTTTCACAAAAAAAAGCTCCATATCGTTATATTAGGAGTTCGTCCACGATGATCTAAATATTTATTAGAAGCGGGATATAAAACACGATGATCTAAATATTATTGATGATGAACGCTTTCGATTCATGACGTGGATTTGCAATATTTTCTACTACACGAGCCATCTCCCTAAGTTGGCTTTGAGTTACATCATTCGCAATTGGATTGTTCAAAATGATCATCAAGATTGGCATAATTATTCATTTTGGTCATTGAGATTTAAAATCGATAAAACTAGTCTATGATTTTGTCCATCATCAAACATTTTGGTTATTCTGTAACAAATCATTGTTAAATAAGAAGAAAATGGCAAAAATACCTTAATTTTTGTCAAATGATTTTGTCCCATTGTTTATTAAATTTAGAGTATTTTTATTATTTTGATCCTTTTTTTATAGAGATTTTTTACGGAACGACTAAAATAATTGATAGTAAACAAACTTAAAGACTACTTATATCGATTTTAAGTTTTAGGAACCAAAGTGAGGATTTGAGTTATTTGTTTGGTCCTACTGTAATTTTCTCTACACTCAAAGAAAAATGTAACTCTTTAAAACAAAATCTTGTTATAACTATCTATTGTGTGACTTAACTAAAACTTAGGACCTTCATATTGGTCCTTTGTTTTGACTTGAGGGTCACTTCATTCTGTAAGTTTTGGTCCGTATTTTTGCGAATGCATGAGTGCGTTGTGGACCTTCTTCTAGATGTAAAGTTTGCACTGTTTAATAAACCCACTTGCTTCATTTGTCAAAAGGAAGGCAATTCGCTTTTCGTTTGGTTACGAATTCCTCAACCAAATTGGATTGGTATTGAAAACTTACCAACTAAAATGGGTCCATCCTTCTTATCAATTGTGTGGGATTTCCAAACGGCAAGTTGCACAGACACATATCCAGTATGGAGTATGAAATACGACATTCAGAGAACCGGACCACTTGTCTAGACGACATGTCAAATAGCTTAAACACAGCCACATAAATAGTATCTTAACTTGCTTTCTTAGAATCATACTTACTCAATAACATACTGCTCTTAGTTCGGTGATATTTTTCTTAATATTGAAAGAGATTTCAAGTACACATCCACCTCCGACCAATAAGATGAAGAAAAATTGGGAGATTGAGGGTTTGGGACCATTTATTTTGCCGGGAGGTAGATTCCATATGTCTCATGCAACATCGTTGATCCAACCCTACAACAATCTCTGGTCAGTTTCGGTCCTCATTGGGTTTTGGGGACCATGGAAACATGGAAGACCACTCCCCCAAAGGGATAGGGATAGACCACATTACTCTAACCCTACCACCAATCCTCAATGAGTGCACATGTAGTAGAATTAGGAGGAGATGGTGCCACATGATCATCAGGAGTTATAAGCACCAATAATTTGAACCCTAATTTTGCATTTGATTTGCATTTGGTCTCCCTAATGATTGAAAATTGGACCCAAATCAGGAGACAATTAGAAATTCTCTCATGTTGCAGACATTATTATTTCATGAAAGAGCGATTGCATATATATTGCTCTATGACAATAGATAAAACTAAGTTACATACGTGAATTAAGCTAGTTGGTCAAGACAATATGTCCGCCTACTTGCGCTTAAGTTGGAATAAAACCAGCTTCGTAATTAATTAAGTTTATAGCACTCTAAGTCTTAAGTCTCTTGTTTTCGAACCGGTCCGAATCCTAAGTCTACCCCTCCTCCATTTTCCAAACCCAAATTAGGGTTTACGGAACTGTGCTTTTCTTCATGAGCTACATCTAAATGACAGGATGACTCTATTTTCGTAAGGTCACCACTAACCTTCTGCATCTGGTCTGCACAATTGTTCCTGTTGTTGCTCATAAGCATGTCAGGGGCTTCAGCAGCATTATGCGATGGAATATTAACCGAAGGCAGCTTCGATAGGAGAGCTCCAAGGCTGCAAGAAATAGAGGGCAGAAGAGGAGCAATTGGCCAAGGTGGTGATCCTGCTAATCCATTTTGTGGTGTGTTCCAGCCTAAGTTTATGGACTTGATTTGGGAATCATCAGGAACTTCACTGAACAATCTTTTCACACCGGTCAGTTGGCGCTTTTCGTAGACTGATAAAGCTGTTTGATCTTCAGTTCCAATCATCTGAGGATTTGGTTTGAAGATGTAGGAATGTTGGATTGGTAGGTACGGTCTTTGCATGGCAAAAACCCCTGGTATGCTCTGAAGGTAGCTGAATTTCCTCTGTATACTGATCACCAAATTGAGATCCTCCAATACCTGAAAATCCCAATGAGTCAATCGATTGATGCTTCACCGAAGGCTAGTAATTTTGACACTTGTTTCGGCCACCTACGCTTACTTCTTAGTTCTTATATGAGTGCAGATAAAATTGTGATATTCAACTTGGAGTGCAGATGGCTAAAGATGGGGTGAAAATTGCTACTTGCTGAAATTTGAAGGAAAAATCAGGGAAGACAGACACATACCTTGTCGAATGAGCCGAGTTGAATTATGCCTTCTCTAACAGAAATGATGGCAATTGTCTGCAAAATTTCGATATAACAAGCCAGTGAATCGTGTTACTAAATTTTCTTTCTTTTCTATAAAACTGAGATTTAGAAAGTGAACCTGTATGCCTGATTGGAATTGAAACTCCCATGCCCTTGGTTGCTGCATGTGAGAATGAATAAAGGGAAATTAAGGATTTAAATGAAGAAAAAAAAAATTCATGCTTGCATTTTTACTTTTGTAAGACGAATAATGTAATGAATTGGCTTACTGGTTCGGTGGATGCATTCCAAGAGGAAATGAAGTTAGGATCACCTTCATTTGGGGTATCTCTGAAAATCCATCTGTGACTATTATCTGCTGCAACTTTCCCAAGCAATCTGCAGCCAACTCAATGCAAATTAATTTGTAATTACCTTCTTGCCAACAAAAATATTAGAAGGAAGATGCTTTTTCCGACAATGTGATACTTTGAACTAATTTAATCTTTGTGGAGGGAAATTCAAACTCGGATGCAAAGGACAGTTGGGACGGGCAGACTGCACAACTAACTGGCCTAACCAACATCACCAATAGAAAGTAAATTCTCACCCTTCTCCGTAATTATATACTTCATGTGACATTTTGAAGAAGATGTCAGCTCCAAACCTCCCCTTAATGTACCCACTTCCTGCTCGCTCACATTCATAGAAATCACAGAACCCATCTTCCCAAACAAGAATCCTGCAACCAAACATTCACTTAAAAACTCGAAAACCATCGAAATCAGAAACATGGGTTTTGTTTTGTCACAGTTCCTTGTTAATCATTTTACCAGTTCCTTTTGTTTCCTTTGGATCGATCAAGGGCACTCCCTCCATAATCCCACCTGAAAAAACCAAAGCAATGTGACTTGTTTCATGAAAGTAGCTTTTCATGTGTAGTGTGCTATATATTCTGTTTATATAGTAAAATTTTCTTACTTTGGAGGAGGATAGTTCCGAGGCAAGGTTCTCCAGAAGACAGCATAAACCCACTTGGAGGAATTGGAAGAAGAATCTGAACATGAACAGAGGCTCCTCAGCGTGTGCTGCAAGAGACAATTAAGCATGGGAAGTCCACTTTCCATTGCCACACACAGAAACAGAAACACGGAGAGAGAGAGAGAGAGAGAGGGGGGGGGGGGGGGGGATTTTAGAGTGCAGTTAAGTGTGAGTGTGCTGTTGTTTCCATCACAATTAATAGGAAAAGAGGAAACTTGGGAACAAACAACCAATGTCCGCTGGCTGTGTTGGGACATTGGAGTGAGGCTCCAACCAAACCCACCGCGTAGTGGACCGCTGGGATCCCTGGAGTTTGTTTCACAGTGGGACCTATATATTTACCACTCAGAAAGGAGGAGTTAAGAAGAGTGTCCTACAAAAGAGAAATAGACACAAGTCACACAACAGATATACAGTCGGAGAGAGCTAAAACCTAAGATCCTCTCGACTAACTTGCGCTGTGAATCAGTTATTATGCTATCATGTACGAAATACCAGTAATATTCTGTGCAAGGGCAGAGCTTGAAATTTTTTATGGGCTACCTAATTTTTCGCTGTTAGGATTAATTTGATTAACTGACATTCAACATTAGCATTATTATTGGCACCTGGGCTATAGCTCATGGTAGCCTTGTATCACCATTGTATTCGTGCATGGTTAAAGAACAAAAGTTCATCGACATTGTCAACAATGTATCAATAACACATCAGTACGTATCAAAAGTCCATTCTTTGATAAGGAATACAAATAGCCGGACTATATAAAATACCATTGCAGAATTTTCGGGATAATCTTAATCAAATTCTCATCATGAATCAAAACATAAGTAAAAAAAAAAACACCAACCAGGTGTAGGGTAATTAGGAAGGTGCAAGGTTCTAAAAAATGTTAGGCGCTAGTCGGGCGGTGGGCTGGCCCTTAGCGCTAGGCGCCTAGGTGGCCTAGACGGATTTAGATAAATTTCTTGTATATCTTATAAATAAGTGCATATTGACACTTAAAAAAAATATATACTTGTATGAAATTCATGGATAAGATAATAAAAGAATGATAAAATGCAAAAAGAGTATTCAACAAGTCCAAAATTTAAAAACACATTAAGCATATATGTCATATAACCATAGTGAGGAGTATTGTAGGATGACACATGTACAACAAGTTCACAATTTAAAACCACATAAAATGCAAAATAGGAGGAAAATAAGGAAATATAGTAATGTAAGATACTTGCAAAATTACAAAGCTAGGCATCAAACTCTTCCTCACCATATCCCTCCAAAACTCTCTCCGTGTCAGACTCAAACTCAACTTCGGTTTTGTTTGTGAAATTAGGGTAAGAGCTGCAATGCACGGCACTTAGACTTAGATAAGATTTTTTTTTTTTAATTTCAAAAAAAAAAAAAAAATCACCTGGCTGCCTGGCCCACTTAGGGCCGCCTCAAGCCTAGCCGATTTTTCCAACCGATTTGCAAGAAAACGTCTCGAATCACCATCGCCCAACGCCTAAGCCCTTTTTTAGAACATTGGGAAGCGTACAACAGCAATCCTTGATTTGTCATGAACGATGAGCAGTGTTTAACAGCTCACGTTGCCTTAATGGTTTTGTCTATTTTTTTGCAGTGGTCCTCAAATCCCTACTGGTTTCCGCTTTCATCAAATAAATGGCACCAAACGTTGTCCTTCTAATGGCCCCTCATCTGCAACGGCGATATGCATGCCTGTTTAATCAGCTTTAAACGTTTTTTTTTTAATTTGAGTCTTCCTTTTGGGGTAGGATAAGTTGTAGGATTGGATTACCAATCCAAAAATAATCTCACCCTAATCCTATCATGTGCATTTACATAGGATTGTTTATCATGTGAAAACTTGAGATGCTTCAATTTCACTACTCTAATTTGTGCTTGAGACCTTAGACACGAAATCCAAACCCAGTACTCTGAGACTCAAGAGAACCGACCCAGTGATCTCGGCACCCTAAGTCCATAACGAAGAAATAGTATATTTCAACTAATCCAAACTCCTTTGTCTTCTGTATCACTAAACACAACGCTGGATTAGTGTTCCTCCAATCGAATGTAAGTAAGCCTCTCTCAATCACTAAACATGATATGTGTCATGATCGCCATTGCTGTAGACGTAAATCTGGACCACCTGCCAACTTGGGTACACAAAGCATGTACACCCCGGGTTGCCTGTTCATGATGGGACTTGCAAGAAATTAGCATTTGGTCAGTGTTTATCAATTGGAGTTGAGATCTTCTTCAAATCTATCTGCTGACGGATTCAAAAATTTGGGCCATTCAAGAAAGAGGGATAGATTTGGGCCGTTAAGGGCTTGATTTTGTGTAAACTGGGTCAGTGTGATGGGCTAACGAGAGCCGGAGATTTAAATTGCGTGGTCCAAACTTTCTAGTTCGTGACTTCGAACATAGTATTTATAGAATCTCTGGAAAGTATTTTTTTGGTTTTTACTGTTAACCTTCATCATGTTATTCAATGTCAAAATTATAGCAGAAGGTCCAGCAACACTACTAGACTAGACGAAGTGAAGTGAAAGGCGACATTGTGGAATGGCCCAATGTGTTGACTCCAATGAAAAATCCCTCAACTTTCCCAACAACTTATTTGTAACTCGCACTACCTAATTTTTGACAGTCCACATTTGTGACTTTCCAATTCACCCATCCTCCCCAGAAAATGATGGATCGGAACTTTCCAATTCACCCATCCTCCCCAGAAAATGATGGATCAGAAAACAATCAAGCATTTATATACCACAGAGATATGGAAAAAAAGTTTCGAAGTGTCAGTTCGTATTCAAGTGGGTACTTATGTGTTATAAGATAAGTTGAGAAATGCGAAAAAAAATATATTATTTTCTTCAGTATTATAATATTTAAAGTATCACTTTAATACTCGGTATGATAATCATTGTTCTAAAAATTTCCGCCTAGGCGCTAGGCGGCTAGCCACTGCCCTGATTAATGTATGGATGTTTGAAAATTAAGAAGTGGCACTTAGACCTGCTGAGGCGCCCACCTAGACTTCCTAGGCACCCGCCTAGCCCGCCCAGACCCGCTTAGACACCCACCTAGGTTGCGACTCACTTAGACAGAAAATAGATAACTTTCATTTTACATTTCATTTTTTTCAATAAATTGTAAGAAACTCATTGAATACTTACACGAACAAACATTATATGTTTGTTCCCCATGTTTTCATTATGTTCCAATATTTTATAATATATATGTTATTCTATTTTGTAATTTATGATGTAAGTATATATATTTTAAATATAAAGAGACACGTATTTACATAAAATATAATATATTTACGTAAATCCATCTAGACCCTAGCCCGCCGCCGACTAACACCTAATGTCTTTTAAAATCTTGATGATAATTCGCTGCTAGCTTGGATTTCCCCACATGAAATTCTTGTTGTAGGCAAGTTTCGAAACCCTAACGAGACAATTAAAATTATGAACCCACAGAAAATAAAAAGCCCAATCTCAAGTTGGGATGGCATCACATGACACCTGCCAGTAGGGGTGGTTTGGTATGGGATACCATACCGAAACTAGTATCCCAAATCCCAAACCGAAATTTTTCGGGACGGGAATTTGAAGACCAATCTCAAACCAAATTTTCGGGAATCCCAAATTTCGGGAATCCCGAAATATTTTCGGGATTTTGGGACAAATCGGGAATCCCAAATTGAAATATGAAATTATGAATTGTTGTTCAAATATATAATTCAAGAACACATTTATGAACTAGGAATTTCATTTCATTCACACTACCATTTCATTGAACACTGGCATGCTTGACTCTTTTTATCATAGTCAAAATTCAAATTAATTAAACTCTTTTTGCAATCTGTTGAGAGACAAAAGAATTAAGCCTTCTGAAATCATCAGCCATGGCAGCAGCAATAATAAAATCCACATGAATATCATACAGAACATGAAAAATATGCAAGGTATAGGGCATTCTAAGTTGCTGAGCATGAATTAGAAACTACTAGCATCAATTATAAAAGAATAATATATATATGTATGTATAAATATATATAATAATTAATATTATATATTTTTGGTTTGGTATGGGATTCCCAAAATATCGAGAAGCCAATCCCGAATCCCATACCGAAATTTTGGTTTGGGAAATTTTTGGTTTGGGATCGGGATTTTTTCGGTTTGGTTCGGGATTTTCGGGAATTTTTTCCACCCCTACCTGCCAGCCATAATGATTAGGAAAATAAACTTTGATATGTTTTACACTAAACTAGGATTTTATTTGTATGTTAAAATCTTAGAGTTGAGTCACTTAGTATTACAGTTTAATAGTATTCCTCTTTACTAAAAAAAAAATCTCAAATTTGGAGTTTTCTATTTTAATCAACACCTTTCGTTTGAGTTCATTTTTCTTTTTCTTTTCTTTTTAATAAAAAGAGGGGTCAATTGGTGGCCTCAAACAACGTTAGAGATTAAAAACCTTAGGAACATATGTCAAAATTATTAAAATTACAAAATAAAAGGTTATACACACGTATAAATTGATGATTTGTCTGTAATGAGAATGAGCCAAGTATTTTGTTCCACAATATGAGCCTTCTCAATGAAGCCACCAACTTTGTGTTTCAGGGACCCACCTGCATCCAATCGTATGTTTGCCTCTTAGTAACATGATTAGTTTCCAAGTATCGTTTTTCTTTAGAGCCTTTATCTCTTAACCTAACCCAATATATCCTAATCAGATTCTCTTATACTAACAGAATGACAAGTTTGAAAGGTTATTATTGTAATTGATTGATCATCTAACTTAGCTCAAATTTTCGTCTAAAATATCGTTGTACCTACCAGGGGTGGCCCCTGGGACTTTGGAGGTCTTAGGCGGCCTTCAAAGTGTGGCCCTAGAGTTCTTTGACCTCTGATTCTTTGTACATTGATCTGTATAAAAAAAATTGCTAAATACATGAAAAAGTTTATTTCTACATCAAATATGATTAAAAATAAATATTAAAAGAAGGATGATATACAAATATTACTTAAATAATACACATCTTGTGTTTTTAGACGCAAATGTATTAATTAAGTTTACATAATCTAATTTTCAACCAATTTGTTTAATAAGTTTACATAATCTAGTTTTTAGACGCCTATGATTTTAATTTTTAATATTTTTAGTGAATTTGGATTGTAGATATATATATATATATATATATATATATATATATATATATAATATTGGGGGTCCAGGCAGGTGCCTAATCGGCTACCTTCAAGACCGACCTTAA